CCTCTGTTCAATCACTAAAATGATTTTCCTAAAGCTCAATTCCAGTCATGTCACACAAACCTACTCAATACACTCTGGTGGCTTCTTATTGCCAGTTGGGCCAAATACAAAATGCTCTGTTTGGCATTCAGGGCCCTTTACAACCTCGCCCTCTCTTACTTCTGGTTCTTTTACACCTTACTTCCTGCTTTAGTGACACGGGACTCTTTGCTGTTGCACAAACAAGATCCTCCATCTTTAGCTCTGTACCTTTTCTCTGGCTTTTTCTCTATGTCTTGAATGCTTTCCCTCTTGCCGTCTTCTGTTAAGTCCCAACTAAAATTCATTCTTTTACTGGAAGCTTTACTCCAATCCCCTTAATACTAGTGTCTTGCTCTATTAATTGCTTCCAATTTGTTCTCAATTTGCATAGCCTATATATAGCTTGCTTTATATATATTTGTTTGCATACCTTCTCCTCCATTAGATTATAAGCTCCTTGGGGGCAGGAATTGTTTTTTTTTTTATCTATTTGTACATCCAGTGCTTAGCACAGTGCCTGGCACTTAGTAGGTAATTAATATATACTGATTGATGGATATATTTTCCTTTCATTATCTACTACTATCTTTACAAAAAAGGTAGTGATGGAGAATAATATGCTCAATAGTAGTAAGCAATCTGCTTCTTTTCCACTGCCCCTCTTCTCTTCCCCTCACTCATACCCAAATCACAGGTTTATCCTTTCTTTCATTTTAATGCTCACTTCACAACCCTGCCTCTAGAGCTGGAAATTGTTTTGCTTATATGTAATCTCTCTCTTATTCTACCTTCCTTCTTTCCTCTGGTTATTCCCATTTTTTTCCCTGTTGAGTTTCCTATTTTCTACACCAAACTCTGGGCGGGGGGAAGAGGGGGAGACAGATAGACAGACTGTTCAATGTCCTTTGTCAAGTTCAGATAAAAGTGAGGTTCATGTATCATCTGACTCTCCCACCCTTTCATCCATGTTTTTGTAAGTTTATTTCTAGAACATCCCATTATATAAAATCATAAGTTACATGTCCTTCCTTCCCCCTTTTCTTCCCTAATGTATTTTTCTCCATTCTTCCATCTGTCTTCCTTTTAAGATCATCAAAGCCTATCAAAACCATCCTTAGGTCCTCTGTTTATTTTAACTCCCTCTATGATCCTTGAAGACATTAGAGTTCTAAGGGGATATTCATTTCTCCCCCCCCATCAGAGTACAAACATTTCCTTCCAGTTGTTCCAGTCAATGTATTTACTTTTCTACATTTCTCTTGGATCCTGTCTTTGCATTTCAAAGATTCTATTAAGTTCTGTCCTTTTCATCAGGAATGCTTGGAAGCCCTCTATTTCATTCAAAATCCATTTTCTACTTGTTGGTTTAGTTTTGTGAGATGTCATTCTTGATTGTAAGCCTTTATCTTTTGCCTTTTAGAATATCATATTCAAAGCACTCCTGTCTCTTATAGCTGACAAGTTTTACAGGACCCTGACTTTAGTCCCTAGACATTCGAACTCTTTTTTTTTTCTGGCTGCTTGCAAAAATTTTTTCTTTACCCTAGAAGCTTTGTATTTTGCTTATAATGTGCATCAGAGTTTTCATTTTGGAATTTCTTTCGAGAGTTGACTGGTAGATTCTATTTTCAGTTTGCCCTCTGGTTCCAGTAAATCTGGACAGCTTTTATTTACAAGTTCCTGCAATACAATATCCAGGACTTTTTATGGTTACAGACTATGGGTAGTTCAGTGCTTCTTGGGTTATCTCTAGGGCTTATTTCGTAGATGAGTTTTAGGTAGGAGACAACTACCAATTTTTTTTTCATTCTTTTTATTTAGTTCTCATATTTCTTTTCTCATGGAATCATTGATTTCTGTTTGATCCATTCTAATTCTATGGGAGTCTATTACTTGGGTAAAATTTTGCACCTCCAGTACTCAATTGTTTATTTTCCTTTCAATTATTTCCTATATAGCCTTCACTTTATTTATAACATCTTTTTTACTCTTATTTTTATCTCTTCTAGGAATTCTAATAGATTTTGTGGCCAAACATACCTTTATCTAAGTCTCTGCCCATGGAGACTAGAGCAGAGGTCTAGAAGGAATATAGAATCCAGTATTCATCTTATATTAAGAAGCCACTGGAGCCCCATGCTTCCACCATTTCTACCTGCCATCTTTGTTGGGTAGTCTGAGGCATGAGGGACTGTGGTGTCCTTGCTAAACTCCCCTCACTTCCCAACTCCCCCGATCCTGGTCTCATATGTTGATCTGCCTTTCTCCTATATTTCCTCATCCAGGATAGTATATCACTCCAAATACATCTAAAGCTTTTCTTTATTCTCTAAAATGTTTACATGTCTGCTTAATTACTACCACATTTCAGCTTACAATAAAGCAGGACACATTATAGCCATTCTTGATTTGTATGTGTTTCATTACTGTGAATGGGGAGTCAGAAATAAGAAAAGTGATAGGAAGAGAGACAGGCATGGACAGAGGGAGAAAGAAAAAGAGACAGAGACAGAGAGTGACAGAGAGACCAAGAGCATGGATTCTCATTTGGAATTGTCAGGATTTTGTCTCACCTGGGGGCTCCAGCACTAAATGAGAGAGAATCTTCCTAATTTTATATTCTATGCCTTCTTCAAGCAGGGCAAAAGCTGAATCTGTGATTTTCCCTTGACAAAAGCCGGAACCATATAAGTAAGAAGATTTAAGTGGTGGTAGGAAGCTTGATGACTAAGGAGAATTGTGGCTTCCCTCAGAAGCAGTTAGCTTCAGGCAGTCTTTTGTCTCCTTTGTTCTCTCCCACACTGAAAGGGGTCATCCACTCCTCAAAAAGGCTCAGAAGGAAGACACTGACTAAGGGAAAATCATGCCTACAAGGATGACAGAAGAGAGGAATTGGAAAACTCGGCTCCACCCCCACAAAGGTTGGGGGCCACCCACGAGGAAACAGCTAGTTTTCCTCTTCATTCAAATGCCCCCAAACTCATGGAATGGTAAATCTCCTCCTTGATATATCACCATCTTTCCAATCATTGAGTTTTGCAACTAAGGAGTCAATCTTGAATCTTCACCTTTCCTTATAGCCTGCATCTAATCAGGTGCCAAGTTTTGTCAACTTGGGCTCCATAACATCTTTTATCTGTGTGTCCTTATTTCTACTTATATAAGACTCTACCCTAGTTCAAGCCCTCATTATCTATCATTTTGACTGTTATTAACAGTCTCATCATTTTTTTTCCTGCTTCTGATCTTCCTCTCTCCAATTCATCTTTCATACAGCTGCCAAAATAACCTTCCTAAAGCATAAGTCTGATCATGTCACTACCCTGCTCAAGATTCTTCAGTGGCTCCCTATTATCCTTAGGATACTCCTCTGTTTTTCATTTAAAATCCTTCACAATATGTCACTAGTTTATCTTTCAAGATAGTCATATTATTCTTCCTCATATACTCTACATTCTAGCCAAATTAGACTATTTGCTCTTCCCTGAATTCAACATCGAATCTCTAGGTTTCCTGCCTGTGCAAAGGCTGTTTCCCATGCCCACAATGTTCTCCCTTCTCATCTTTATTTCTTAGAATCCTTGACTTTCTCCAACGGTTGCTTTAGGTACCAGATCCTCTAGGAAACCTGATTTCCCTCCTCATTACCTTATCTTGCAATTATTTGTTTATATATTATATTTCCTAGTGGAAAATAAAGCTCCTTGAAGGCAGAAGTATTTTTCTAATCTGTAACACCTAGCGCAGTGTATTTCACACAGCAGGTTTTAACAAATGGTGGTTAAATTTAATTCAATTATAACTGGTAAGTTACTCTAATTCTAATTTTTGTCATTATTTTTAAAAATTCAATGCTTTCTAATTTGACCAAATAGTTTTTCATTTTCACTTTTGTTTATAATGGATTATAGCAAAATGATCATGAGACTGAAGATATACACACTTTTGTGTACATATGCATATATATGTATAAGTATATGTACATATATAATTTATTAAGCATCATATGATATTACAGATAGGAAAGTGAGGTGGTCATAGGTATCAAAGAACTCACATTTTAATTGAATATGTATACACACATATATGCATCCATATAGAATACATATTAATGGGATTCAAAGAATATTTGACTAGAATTAAGAAGACCTAGCTTCTAGACATGGTTTTACCATTAATGTGTACTTTATACTTAGAGAAGTATGGGCCTCAATTTCCTCACCTGTAATGAGGAGCTTGGACTAGATCCCCCAAATCTCTTTTAACCTTAACATTCTATAATTCTCTGATTCATCCATTGGTAACCTACTCTTTTGGCCTAGGCTTGTTTTCTTGCAGACTCATCAGAATATTTTGGAATTTTTTAATGGGACATTCATTTCAAAACGAGGACTGTTTCCTCACTCTCTCCTGCCCTCCCCCTCCCTCTCTTACCTAGACTGTGCCTGCCCATCTTTAGGGTCAAATATGCTGTCTGACACCTTTAGCATCCATGATGGGGCAGAGTTCTAGGTAAGAAACAGCTGCGGTCAGGCCTACAGCCTTTATACTCCTCCTCTTCCCACCATGGGGCAGCTAGGTGGCACAGTGGATAGAGGACCAGTTGGAATCCAGAAGACTCATCTTCCTGAATTCAAATCTGGCCTCAAACACTTACTAGCTGTGTGACCCTCAGCAAGCCACTTAATCCTGTTTGCCTCAGTTTACTCATCTGTAAAACGAGCTGGGGAAGGAAATGGCAAAACACTCCAGCATCTTTGCCAAGGAAACCCCAAATGGGGTCATGAAGATCCGGTCATGACTGAACAACAATCCCCCATCCCCTAGTGCCCATGACCTTAGCAGTTTCCCCTTGGTCTTTCAGACAGTTTCTCCACTGCCAAAACTGGAGTCATGGTAACACACACACACACACACACACACACACACACACACACACACACAACACACACACTGTTTGGGAATATTATGATGAATTATTCTCTGGGATCTCTGAGAAAAGTTTGATTTCTGTTCTATTTATCACTCTTATGAAGACCAGAGCATCTGTGTTAGGATCCTCCCTTCCTGGTCCTTCATCAGCTTTTCCTCCGTGTTTCTACAGCCCGGCCACTGAGGAGGGCCAGTTCAGCAGCAGCGGGAGAACTTGATTAGCGGCTGGCTTTTGCGCAGAAGCTCTTCCCCTGCAGCATCGATTGTAGTCGCTTTCACTTTGCAAGCAACAGCTCGGCTGAGAAGGAGCCTCTGCCAGGCAGCAGCCTGCGCATGGCAGCTGCTTGTAAAAGGAGACAATCTGTTGTCTGGTCAAGGTGAGTCTTGGGTAGGTTACCAAACCGGGTTAATTTTGTTTAAATGCTAACAGCCTACACATTTTCATATAAAATCTACTAGCTGGCCAAGCCCTTATAATAGCAAGTTTCAAAGACAATTTTTATGGCTGAGTTATAAGCCCTTTCAAGGAAAGCAAATTATGTTTAATATTTAAACAGTTTCTATTTTGCTGAATTCTTTCCTATCTGGATATTAACCAAATAGCTGCTGAAGTTTCCTTTCTAGAGTCATACAGATTGTTGCTTCAAACACTATATAACTGGTGAGTTATCCTGTGCTCTTTAGTGCTTTTTCTGTAACCTAATTCATCTCTTTAAACCTAATTCACATATTACATTCTATAATACTCCATATGCCATATTCTTCTTCTGGACTATAAGCTCCATGAGGTCAGGGTATGATGTATTTAAATCTCTGTAACCCAGCCAGCACCAAACACAACATAAACACAATAGCACACACACAATAGGTATTTGGTAAATAGGTTTCATGGTGGAAATGAGTGGTTCTAAGATCTGAAATCATCATACTTCATTATAAAATGGTTCTCAGGGGGTGCGGTGGACTTAGCACTGGACCTAGAGTGAGGAAGAACTAAGTTCAAATCCAGCCTTAGATGCTTACTAGCTGTGTGACCTTGGGCAAGTCACTTAATTTCTGTGTGCCTCAGTTTCCTCATTCCTAAAATAGGGAGAATAATAGCACCTAGCTCCCAGGGATGTTGTGAGGATAAAATGAGTTCATATTTATAAAGTGCTTTGCAAACTTTATGGTACTATATAATTGCTAATTATTGTTATTATTAAACTCCTAGTAGATGTTTTCCTTAGAATTGTGTTTGTTGCTAGCAACCAAAATCAATGGAGTTAAGATAGAAGGAAAACCATAGATTTTGAGGGGTACACTTTAACTTTAAAGTTTACTTTAAATCAAACAACTGATGAATTTCTTATATCCAAGATAACACGGGGAAAAGACCAAGAGACATTCCACAAAGGAGAAGTAGCCAAAAGTATGTGAACAAATAGTTCTCAAAAGACACGCAAACTATTACCAGATAAAAGATTGCTCTAATCATTAATGATATAAACTCAAATAAAATCAAAAGAACTCTGAGGTTTTATCTCACACCTAGCAAATTGGAAATGATAACAAAAGACAGTAAAAGTGTTGAATAGGGCTACAGGAAGATGGGGAAACTGATGTGCTATTACTGAAACTGTGATCTGATCCAACCATTATGGAATAATTTGAAATTACCCTAGAAAGTGACTAAAATATCTTAGATTTAAAGCTAAAAGGGACTTCAGAGGCCATCTGAAGTTCACCCTTTTCCTTTTATGACTGAAGATACAGAGATCCAGGGCATCTAAGGAAATTTATCAGGGATAAACAGTAAATATCAAAGGTTATGTTTAAATTGAAGTCCTATGACTATAAAGCCAGCCTTGTTTCTTGTATTGTTTGACTCCAGAGACATCATTTGGGTATATACCCCAAAGTGGACAAAGAGAGAAAGGCATCATACATCCCCAAATGTTAACAGCAAGATTCCTTTATGGTAGCAAAGAATCAATGGGGGGGGTAGGTAAACAAATGATGGTATGTGAATGTAATGAAATGTTACTGCACCATCAGAAGTTATGAATGTGAAGAACTCATGTGGGGAGGCCTATATGGACTGATTCAGAATGAAGTAGGCAAAACCAGGAAAAGAACATACTCAGGAACTACAAGAAATAAATGGAAAGGATAATAAAGACAAAGCTCAGTGCTCTGTAATTGTAAGCTTCGTCTTTAAAACACTGGGAAAAATGCATTTCTCCTCTTTCTTTACAGTGACTCTGGGTGTGGAATGTCGCATATTTTGTCAGACACGATCCATGTGTTAGTTTTGTTGAACTGTCTTTTTTTTTTCTTCTAGCTTTCATCTTTGTTATAAGAGTTGGCTCTCTGCTAGGAAAAGGTATGTGTGATATACTCAGAAATGAAGTGATATTAAAGACAGACAGTAACAATAAAAATAAAGGCTGACCAGGTTGATTTTCTGGTATGTATCAGTCCATCCATCATACTTGACTTGTTGCTTGTCTTTCTGAAAAAGAATCTTTAAAGTGTTTTAACATTTATGTGTCTTGGCAAAACTTTTGCAAAAATAAAAATAAATAAAAAATCAAATTATTCATGGGTGCTTTTTGTTTTGAGATTTATGGAGTGGCAAGTTACTGAAGTCTTTCTTTACATACCCTCAAATAACTAGATAATTTCAGTATTGTAGAAGCCACTAGGTGGTGCAGTGAATAGAGGGCTAGGCCTGGAGTCAGGAAGATGAGTTCAAATTTGACCTCAGACACATACTATCCTTATGACCTTGAGCAAGTCATTTAACTTCTGTTTGTCTCGGTTTCCTCATCTGTAAAATAGCGATAATAATACCACCTACCTCCCAGCGTTGTAATGCTCTAATGAGATAATATTTGTAAAGTGTTTAAGAGAACCTGGCACATAGTAGGTATTCTAGAAATGCTAGCTATCATTTTTATTATTTTTTTTTTATTGTAGAACTGACCAAAGGAAGTCTGAAAGAACATGAATGGATTTCTCTAAGCTCTTGGAAAAGGATCTTCAGAATTGACCTACCTTTAACAAGCCTATGCCTTTCAAGTGAAAACTTCTTAGTTGAACTGAACTGTGTGACTATTTCATGGCATTTAAAAGCCATATCTTGTGACCTACACAGAATATAAACCATAGATGTTGTACAACCCAATACAGATTGTCCAACTCATTTCCGCTCACTGTGGGTACGAAACATTCACAATTAGCTGTAAGACCATATCATAAGTGCACAAAGCCAAGTTTTTATAGTCTCCAAATAGGGGTATACAATGAAAAATGTGCATTTACATATATATGTGTGTGTGTGTGTGTGTGTGTAGACACACACACACACATATATACAATGTATACATACACATTATATATTTATACATATGTTCAAAATATGTGCTTATAAACATATATATGGGTGTATGTATGTATGAAGCTCAGCTGATGTCCCTTGTACATCTAAATTCATAAATGCATTCATGGTTGCCAAATCTAAGTCAGATATTGTAGCAGAAAGGGGAGGGAATAAGCATTTTATATAGTGAGTACTATGTGCTAGGCAGTGTGTTAAATATTTTACTAATATTATCTTATTTAATCCTCACAACACCCTGGGAGGTAGGTGCTATTATCCCCATTTTACAGTTAAGGACACTGAGGCAGGCACAGGTTGAATGATACAGCTAAGTATGTGAGGCTAGATTTGAACTCAGATCTTCCTGCTTCCAGGCCCTGCACTCTACCCACTGCATTGCCTGGCTGCTTCATTATGAATGGAAAATTACTCTCATAGCTGGGTCTATTTCTTGCTGTCTCATAGCAAGAAGAGTGAAGCACAGTGTGAGTCATGCTAGAAGCAAACATTACAAACTCATCTTAGTGGTAGGCAAGATCAAACACTTCCCAAATACACCTCTCCAATCGTTATCTGCAGGATTCATCCTTTAAAGCACTAAACCTGGGTGCTAGGCACAATTTTAGTGAGAAATGGGGGACGGGAAAACAAATTCACCACCTAGTTTGGAAACTAAGTGCAAATGGTACAAGGTTGCACCAGTAAAAGGACCATCTCTCCCTTTCCCACCCCACTTGAAGTTTGTAAGTTAGGGGTCCTTAACCTTTTTTTTGTATCATGGACCTCTTGGCAATTTGGTGAAACATATTAATCCTTTCTTAGAATGATTTTTTTTAATGCATAAAATAAAATATACAGGATTATAAAGGAAATTAATTATATTGAAACATAGTTATGAAAATATTTTTAAGACTAATTTTCGTGGGGTTACTTTATTAAAATGTTCATGCCCTTTGGCCCAGCCATACAGCTACAAACAAATCAAAGAAAAGGGAAAACAATCTCTCTGTCTTTGTCTCTCCGTCTGTCTCTGTCTCTATATGTGTGTGTGTGTGTGTGTGTGTGTGTGTGTGTGTGTGTGTGTGTGTGTGTGTATATATATATATATATATCAGCTCTTTTAGTGGTAGCCAGATACTGGAAACTGTGGAGGTGTTCTCCTATTGGAGAATGGCTAAACAAATTGTGATCTACTAATTTAATGGAATATTGCCATGTCATAAGAAATGATGAAATGATCAGTTTCAGAGAAAACTTGGAAGACTTTTATGAACTAATGCAAAGAGAAGTGAGCAGAACCAGGAGAACAATTTGTACAATGATTGTTGTTGTTGTTGTTTGCCCTCTGTTCTCAAAGAGGACCATGACATCAGAAAGGAGATGTCATGACTTGCAAGTAAATTGGATTAAGTGCAAAATCACCAGCCTCACTCCTCTGGAGCCATCTGGGTCCAGTGGCAACACATAGATCAAGATGACTGGAAATGGCCCTGGATACAGTGGGAGGCCTTGGCTTTTTAAAACTAGGGTCTTTCCTAGGTTTCAGTTTGTCTAAGGCAACACCCATTCAGTGTTTAAGTCTTGGTAAAAATGAGGTAAAGAATGGCCTCTTTTACCTAGTAAAAAAAAAATAACAAAATCAGTCTTGGATGGGAAGACACTCAGGGTTTCCGGCCAGAGCAGAAACAATTACAGTTTACACTCACTCTGAGCTACCAGCATCTGAACAATGACCAACTGAGGCTTGTGCTGAGACCTATTGTTGGCCAATCAATGAGAGCCAGAGTGATTTGGGTTTAAGGCATGTCCATAAAAAAGAAATCTAGCCTGTAAATCTCAAAATATCTTGCAAGGAGAAAAATACAACCTTCAAAGACTAGTACTCTTATCAACACTACAAAAAACAATATGTCCAAAAGAATGAAAATGGAGCACATCATTCCCTCCCTGACGGAAGGGGATGAACTTAAAATGTAGTAAGAGATAATACTTTCCAACACAGAAAATGTTGGGAGTTGTTTTGCTGGACTATTTATTTAGCTATGTATCGAGAGCTTTACTTTCTAAATTAAAAAAAATTGCTGTTTGTTTTGCTCAGTGAGACGTAGGTAGTGGAGAGGACAGACTCATAAAAAAATAACATAAAAACAAGTTCACAAATCCCAGGTCCATGTAGAACCGCTATTCTAAGATAGATGTGAAACTGATCTTTTACAACTGACTGCACAGGAATCTACTTGTAATCCATAAGAAAGGAAATGCAGAGCTAGTGAGGCAGAAGGTTCTCAGGATGCCCTGACTTAATCATTGAGGAGGCTTTCCAACTTTCTGTTAGAGATGCAAACATCTAAAGGACAATTAGGGCCCTGGTCAGAGGTTGGAGCTGAAAAGCCACACTGATAAGAAATAGCGTAACTTAAATTTTTGGTAAGTGAATCAGCAACATTAAGCGTGCGCTCGGTCCTTACAGTTGCAGTCTGTTAGCCTTGCTCAATAAAAATGGCTACACAGGCCTCTGACACTGTCTTTGTGGGTCTTTGTTGGGAGACATTATTGAATCTCTGCTGTAACACACAGTCTCTAGAGCCTGTCCATTAACTAGCTTCCCACAAGAGCAGCACCCCTGGTGGAGTAAAATCTGATAATAATACATGTCTGAGCCAGTGTATGCTGGTGTCTCTCTATGCACTAACAAGACATGATAGCGACTTGTTTCTTTCAACCAAGCATATTCAGGACTGACTCGTTCATCATTTCGCATCATTTGCATGGAGAAACCTAACGTCTCTCGTGCAAGGAACAGTGCTTCTATGTTCAGTAATAAAATATATTAATCTCCATAAGTTGTCATTTAGCTCAAAAGAAAGATAGTCTTGACAAGTAAGCCCCATGAGAAATGCACTACATGATATCACAGGAAATGATTTCTGGACAACTGCAAAGAGTATAACCAAATCATTTCAAACATCTCCAGCACTGTCAGTCTATGTAACATTATATTTTAAAAATGTGCATTCATTAAAATGTCTGGTTTTCCACATGATAGATACAGCAAGTAATCTTTTGGAATCTAAACTTAGTTGGTTTCGACCAGTTTTGCTGTGCTATATTCTCTGTGTCTGATCTTAACAAGAGAACACAGAATAGGAGAGGGGGATGTTAAGCTGACAGCTTTAGACTGCATATATGCATGATTATTATTCCAGCAACCTAATGCAAAACCTGCAAGGCTTTCAAAACACTTTTATGAAGAACTAGACTTTTCTTGGACCCTTGTGCTTTTATGAGTAGTTCCCTAGCCAGTAATAATAATCATCATCTCACATTTATATCGCACTTTACAGATCACAAAATGCTTTCCATACAACCGTAAGGTAAGTAGTGCAATTATCATTATCCCCATATTACAAATGAAACTGAATCTCAGAGAGGCTAATTTACTTGCCCATGGTCATACAATGGGCAGCTAGGTGGTGCCATAGTGCATAGAGTGCTAGGCCTGGAGTCAGGAAGGCTCATCTTCCTGAGTTCAAATCTGACCTCAGACATTTACTAGTTGTGTGACCTTGGGCAATTCATTTAATATTGTTTGCCTCAATTTCTCATCTGTAAAATGAACTGGAGAAGTAAATGGCAAACAACTCCAGTATCTTTGCCAAGAAAACCCCAAATGGGATCACAAAGAGTATGGATCAACCAAATGACAATAGTCACAGCTAATAACCGTCATGACTATGTTAGTGCAAAGAACTAATGAATAGATGTAATATAAAGAAATATTTCCATTCTTTAAAAAATTTTAATATGAGATGGGTTAGGAGACAAAATAAGTTCTGGTAAGTTCTTTTAAAGATATTCCCTCTATTTTTGCTATTGTAAGTTCTAATCTTCAAAAAGAAAAAAGGAACCATGACTATAATTTATAATTTTTTTAATGCAGCTTATTATCTTAAATTTGACATCATAAGACAGCTCTCAGAAACAGGACAGACTTGAGGACTTTACCTAAATTATGGGATTTGACGGCATGCCACAATTGATTAACTCAAATCCAGTGATCCATAGTTTTATACCAGCCAATCTCTCTGTAAGGTCATTCTAGAAAACCTTTCAAACAACTACTCCAAGCTCTCCTTCCACTTTGTCCTTCAATTAAATGCTTAGCTAAATATGTACAGTATAAACCTCAAAACCCTTTAAAAAGTTTAAAAAACAACCCTACTAATTTAGGTTAAAAACAAAAGTAATTGCGGCAGAAGTGTCTTTAAGTTTTGCAATAATCCTTCCAGTATTTTTGCATCCCAAAAGCTCCAGATGTGACCAGCCACTGCAAAAATGGTAAGTTGTTTATCAGCATTCTACACTGGAAACTGGCACCTGTAATTGTCCTCATATTTTGCATCAGCAGAATTAAAACACATAAAAAATGACCAAGAGACATTTTTGTGTAATAGCACCTATACATTGAGAGTCAAATGCCCTGTCTGTCATCCTGAAGGTGACCGCCCCAACGTGTGTGTGTGTGTGTGTGTGTGTGTGTGTGTGTGTGTGTGTGTGTGTGGTATCTTGACTGCCTATTTCTATAGGCTCTCTGGAGGTAAACAGAATAAAAATGTGCAGCTGAAGACTTTGGACCTTTCAAAGAATCATGTTGCTTTTCTTTCCCTACTTTCTCCCTCCTCCTATTTCCGGCCCTCCACCCCCACCTCACATTTAGTTGAGCAGAAATTCTATTGCTCACCTCAGTCTGGCTGAAGGTTTATGAACCACGAACATATTTGAACCATGTGACAATAATTAACCATGTTGTTGGACCCTAGATTTAAATTTTTTCAAGAG